ACACTCAAATCTCCAAAGGGGTTTTCAGAAGGTATTGTTCCAAGCAAGTCGATAACGTCTGTAGCAACATCTCTCGGTAGCGATGCACCAGCACAAAAGTATTTGGAGAATTGGGAGGCAATCATCCAATTACGAAAATGGGCCTCAGGTCACATAAGCCAAACTCGGGCATTGGGAAACACGGGAGAGAGTTGACTGAAATGCTGTTTTCCAAACAGAGGTGTACAGCAATAGGGTCACTCATTGTTAACAGATGAGAGGGTTGTGAAAAATTCGACGGATATCACCAATCAACGGCGTCAAAAATAAAGTGGTTTTATCACGTTGGGAAAACCAAATGTGCAGTAGCCGGATTTCATCACGTCGGGGTCACCAGATGTAGTAGCTTGGTCTTAGCACTACCTTACAACCCTCTAGTTAACAGCCCGTAACTACCCGAGAATGGGGGAAGAGAGGCCTCGGAGAACACGACCGTTTATTAGAGTCAAACCAGCCAAGTGGCTTTGTGTGCGTATGAGCACGCGTGCGTAACAGGCGAATGCTGACAAAAATCAGTAACAAAAGGGAATGAGTCATCGCTACACACGGGCCTTCGTGCACGCACACTCGCGCGGGGCGGCTGTCAGTCCACTACAAGTCCTCAGATTACACAGTTGCAATTCTCACATGGATACTCAAATAGAATTATACGCAGAATTGATTAAAATTTAGATTTAATGTACCACATAACAGCCATTATTAGGCAGACTACAAATGTGAAAACTCTTATTTACAGTCAAAAATTATGCATGACGCGATTTACAAATCAAAAATTTCTGCATATGTCTTCCAAGCAAGGAAATTTCGCTGCATTGACTTTAATATTTTTATCATCCTTATTAAAGTTTTTAAAACTTACATGCAGGAATCGTCTTTTCCTCATCATCCAAAGAAAAGTAGTGACATAAATTCCACCATTAAGCATTTGTGCGAGAAAATACAAAATTCAAAATTTCATTCACAGACAGGTGTTAGAAAATTAAGTAAGTCATTATGGAATAGACCTTAGGCGACTGTTAACACGAAAAAGGGAAATAAATCAGCACTTGGTAAAAATTTCAACAATATGTGTTTCAGCGGCTTTTAAGTGTTTTAATGGTATCAATTAGACACGTTAAAAAGCCGAGAAAAAGAACAAACCTATAACTGTTGGAAGAAATTTAGGTAGGTCATCTTAAAGCTAGTAAAGGGGGCAATAGTTTTAAAACTGTAGAGAGAATCAAGATAGAGCGAATCGAGATCTTTACCAATAAGACCAATGAGTCGATGTGGTGACTTGCCGTCTTCTTCAGTCCTGACAAACAGCAAGTACGGTTTTTAAGGTAATATTAAGTAAAGTGAATTCTTAAGTTTTACCTATTTCAAATACATTAACAAAATGTTCTCATTATCAGTTTATTTGTTTTACTTTCCTCGGTTAGTCAATATCCTTCCTCGCACAAATTTGCAACGCTAAAGCATTTATGGTTGTTACAGGTTTTGAATCCTACGCTTGTCTTTCTCTCACACCACATAGTGTAGTTTTTTTAACGTTTTCAATATCCTCAGAGAATGTTGATTGTTTCAAGTAAGCTTTTGTTGGACTGTTGTAATCTACTCAGTCATCATTTTTCTGCTACCAGATTGTTGATTTTTGGTTGCTTTTACAAAATACTTAGCAAGTTTTCTTAGTTTTTGTTTATCTATGCAAAAGACTGATAGGTTTCACCCTAGTGATATCACGAAGCCACGGCTGCGTAAATCCGTTTTAATAGAAATCTTTTGTTAGGTGCTAAAAAACCCGACACTTTTTTTACCTTGATATAAACTTTACTTGAAAATTTTAATATCCTTGAATAATCTGGCAACCTAAAACGCGATAGTACAATGTGTTGTATGCATGAAATCACGGTTCTTGATGTAATGCCGCCGCGTCTGCTTTGTTGTAATCTCATTGTGTTGTGAATTCCTTCTTCTTCAATGTTGTTCGACATGATTACTTCTCTAGGAGATGTTTGTTGCCATTTCCTCTCAAACTTTTTTGTGATCATTTCCACCTAAATTTACGAGTTTTACTCGGACGGCTGTTATTGTATTTTTTAAAAGTTGTCTGTTCTGATTTCTTTATCGTCATCACCTTGTGATTTTTCAAAGTGCCCGCGTAGCACTCCCCTTGCTGAAGTACAATCGGAATATAGGCAACGCGCTTACAAAGATTCTTTTTAATATCGCTCTGTTGGATTAAGATAACTTCATTGACTCCTGAGGTTACAAACTATGAGATTCTCCCGCACTAATTTTTACTGCAAATAAGCCAACATCCATATACCTTATTTTCCATAAATATGAACTCGGTTTTGCTAAGTAGCAGCCTACGAAAACGAGGGACTATCTGGTACTAACGGTTGGAAATGTCGATGCATTAATGGCTATTGATGGCTAGTACCTGGTCTGAAAAAGGCGTATCTTGTCACCTGTTTGGTTTGATCCCGAAAATATTACTCCTAATCACTTTAACCACGTTACTGCTTGTGATTAATCACGTTGGACTTTTTCCCTTATTCTGAATTCAATAGTAGTGCAGTCTTTGTGGACGAACTCACATCCAAACTGTTTTTGGCAAGCTAAACAGCCTGTGTTTGTGTTCCACCTGTGACCGTCTCTTCAAATCTAGTAGACGGGCGATTAGATTTTCTTTTGCAGTTAGGTGTAGTCGCTTTGACCCGTACCCTTGCGTGATTTCTGCATATATTATCTAAGTCGCCGTCCTAATCCACTAACTACCACCTTCTTTCAGATGCTAAAATGCAGTCTCGTTTTGGGGCCGTCCTTTCACCGTCATTGCAGTCCATCGTGGACAAAGTAAGCTCCGCTTTGGATACTCATTTCGCCCCTTCTAGTACTCAAACATGGCCGCCGATGCATCCGAAGGACAAACACTGGATGATTATGGTTTTTCCTTCCCAAGGCGTAAGTTTGTTTGACGGCTTTTGCCCTGGTTTTGATGTTTACTCAAGACAAGTGCGATTTTTGCTTACTTTTCGCCGTTCTTTCACCTATAGAGCAACTAAAGGACGCGCTAACAAGACTCCTGGAGTCACCGGTGAAGCACGTGAAAGCGCCAAAAACCAAAATCAAAAAAGACCTTAAATTCCGGTCCAAAGAGGCGCGCTTACTTAGGAGTCTAAACTATTCAGGTAATTTGTACTTCAAGGCTTCAAACGCAATATCTCCTGACACCAGCGCACTCCAGCTGTTGTAGTCTGCACAATTCCAAGCTACGTGGTTTGTAATTGGGTTTGTCGGGAAGTTGGCGTCTGCTGGCCGCACGAATTCGAACTCCGGTAAACAATCACTAGCCCTCGCGCCAAACAACACATTTGTCCGGTTCTATTGATGTGAGGAAGGCTAATTTAAAAACACATGGTCGTGAGATGTCGCCTACTTGGAACAGCGATTTTGACACGGAGAAGGAACATTGCTCTCTGGCAGTTGGTTGCCTTGTTTACGCTTGTAAATTTTATCGTGAAACCGTGGTTCTTGGCGCGGGAGTAATTGTTTGGTGAGTGGGGCCTATCATAGCTGGAAGAACAGTTTGTTCACCATAATCACGAGTTGGCACCCCCCCCTGTCTCGACTGGGGTAGAGTGGGCCTTGTCTAAGTGACTTTGGGTGTTGCAGGGGGCTGTGATTTCTCAATTACTCCTCTAAAGAACTCGAATTTCTGTTTCCCGTAGACGGCCACGCCAAGACACTGCCAAGGCGACGCGTCTCCCACTCCCACCGGGTGATCGCCTCCTTGGAGGACATCGAAAACGCCCTTCAAAGGCACGCCAAAGCACTGCTTAGCCCCTCACCGTCCCTTCAAGGTAGCCGTCCGATTGGCTGGCTGGTGTTGACCACCTATTTGTTTAGTTTTCCACGAAGACTCGTTCTTCTTAATTGGTAGACACCTCAAATGACTCCTCACAAGCCCCGGTGGGATATGGCTGAGACAAAAGTTGTAAAATTGTAATGTCATTCCCCGTAACTCTTTGTTTTACTGCACTGGATTTCCTCAGTAACTGCTTAGAACCTGGCAAACTTCAGAGAAAATCCTGAATGTAAACTTCACGCGTGGATACGGAACGTGTTAACCCCATTAGCATATGTTCAACTTACTTTGAGACACCCAGAGCAACAACAATTTCAAATGTGGCGCATTCTTGCACGCCACTAATGCCGCCTATTCCGCTTCTCACTATCAGTCTTCGTCTGCTCTAGACAAATCGCCGTTTCGTTGTGATTCCGTGCGGCATCCGAGGCCAGTGGTGTGGGAGGATAGGACCTGCAGTCCCCCAGCGCTCGTCCAGCACAATCGTCGCAGCAGTTCACGTGCGTAGTCAGTCTTTTTCATGTTGACCATTCTCGCTGTGCCTCTGTTTGTTTCCCGCTTTGGTGGTTAGTGAAACGTGGCATCTGTGGTCAGTCGTAATGGAGAAACACCACTGGACTTCTCGTGGGTCAATCCCACACCGTCCGTGCCTTCCAGGTTGCAATTCTTCGATATTAGTGAACCTGCCCACCGCTTTACGTAATCATTCCTAAAAATGAGGTTTCCAAGACACCCGTTTTTAAAGATTATTTTCCAAATTATGCTGGACTTGAGGCAGGATTCGCTATTACCTCGGCTGGGGTAGGGTGTGGATAGTTTAAGTGACGTTTGCTAGCGTTTTTTTTAACTCGCCAGACCACCTGCTGGCGACCTTTTGGTCGGAGATAGCCTGTTACCCATTGCTCCACAAAAACCGGCTTATTGATTGTCTTCAGTGCCGTATGTCACCACGCCGGCTTGGTTTGTGCCCAACAAAGCCTCGTCCTCCATTCTCACCCTCCACCGTGATAACCACGCAACCCCGCTGTCTACCGAGCAGTTGGAACGGCACTCCTTCTCCACTGGGGGTCCCCTGCCCTGGAAGGATCGTGTTTCAGCCTGGCTCGACTCTCAACGACCTGGGCGGTAGTCTTACGCGTCGGATTTTATGGCCACGGCTTCAGGCGCGCGTTTGGTTGTGTACATTTTTTTACTTGAGCCTTGTAATATGAGTGTTTGTAAATTGCGCTATTCGTCAATATAAATTAAAACTATTTAGTCTTTTTCCTTAATGTTATTGCAGTGAGCGGGTGCGTTGTTACGGCGGACATGACTGACAACTTCGTGGCCAGGCTGTTCAGAAAAGACATCAAATTCGCTAGTATTTTGTAAGCTCTTCTCCCGGGGTAAAGTTTTCAGGCTTGACATCACAATTTCCGTCGTGCTTTGGTTTATTGCGGGGAAAGGTGTGCAGAAGTACATTGACAAGATTTAGGGCCATTTCAATCAGAACGATTGTTCTTACGGGCTAAGTTTGGATAGTAATCTCGAGGCAGTCGTGAAGGTAGCCAATGAAATACAAGGGCTAGGCGATTGGCCTCGCGTTGGTGATGCGTTTTCAAATTCGGGAATAATTTGCGCTGCCATAACCACACGTCCGGAATGCACTAGGTGTCCGAACACCGCTAGGAATTATTCACAGCTAGCGGACGTCAATTTCTGAGCAGGTGCGCTGTTTTTGGGTACCAACATATTAGAACACCTTGTTGTGAATCGTGTTTATTCACATCCCCTAATCAGGTCTCTCCACCCCCGATATAGGGTCTCCCTCTTCGCAGCATGTCGCCAGCCGCGCGGATTCTCAATTCCCCCCTCATTCACACGAATATTTGGATTATCCTCACACCTAGGTCTCGATGTTAGCGCATGTATGACTCACACATCCGAGGTATGAATACACACGCGCAAACCCCACACACAATACAACGACACCAACGTGGTTGAGCTCTGTTGCAAACGGTTGTGTCCACGTCCTTTCCGGCCTTTTTATTCATTGCGGATATCCGGGAAGCGTAATCGAGCCATGGTTAATTCCGTGGCCCCGGCGTGGTTCAAAGCCACATGATGGGGCCCACAACGAACTCAAGTCCTCCAATTTCTTAAAAGCTGGTCATGAGGCATGTTGTGAACAAGCGAGGATAATCAGGCAAGGGTACCGAAGACGGAGGTGGGGAAACCCAATGGTGATCCAAATTTTTATCGACTAACGTACTTGTCGATTTTTGATGGGGGAGCCTTTTTTGGATATTTTTTGGAAATCGCGACGCGATCCTGAAGAGGCCGCCAAATCCGCTGCAATCGAAATGGGCCACGGTAGTGGAAGACTGTGCTGACATCTTCCGTTCCCGGTTTGTTGGAGTAGCTGTCAGCTTAGTGTGCGTGCAAGCAAGTTTTCAAGGAAAGAAACGCGAATGGAACACAAGTTATATGCTCCAAAATTATTATCCTCTTTTGTCTCGCTGTCCCCTCTGCGAAACATATCACTATATAGGCAGATGCAAAATGTTCTATTCTTATAGCTCAGAGAAACGTTTATCGGTGGCTCATGAGCTAAAGAACTGCCACAGCTGCTTGAAGCCTAATTATGTTGCTCCGGACTGCTGATCGTCGCGCATTTGTATCATTTTGGATCCAGTGGATCTCCTCATACCCCATTGCACCTTTTCAATGGTGATCACACTTCCGGCTCAGAAATTACGACTGATCGTGTGGGTAAATACATCTGCTGTTTAGAGATTACAATATTAGAGGATTATCCGAATCTATCCCGTCATCAGGGTCTGACTGCTGACGATTTTGAAACAAGTAAGGCTGGTTTAGAATCTGTGCACGATGGAGATATCGATTTCGGGTCTGTAGAAGTGAAGACTCGGCTAACGTAGCAAATTTAACTCAAGTACCGTGTAGGGATGTAGTCGAAGCGATGACGCTATTCAACTTATACACAACTCAGGTGGCACTCGAAGTCTATCACACACCAGTAACAGAGGTTTGATGTCATGTGCATTACGGTTCAAGAAAAAACGTTTCCACATGTAGAGTTGAAAAGGATCATAATGAAAATCTCAAAGATACCTCAAGATGCTACCGTTTTCTTCAGGCATTCAAGAAGAAGATTTTAGTGGATATATTAAGGTACCTCAATTTCAGGGAATTTTGATACCTCGACTCCGTGAAACGAACCAGATGCCAATTTGCATCTCAAGAATTTTGGTAAGAGCCTGCAACTACTGGACGAATTGTTAAATGTTGCTCAAGAAAAAAAGGCACGTTGAAAATGCCACAGGAGGTACTCTGATTATTACTGGTATTTTTAAATGCATCCACTCTCTCGAAACAGATGGAAATATATATGTTTAAATGCTTATTTGGTACAACAAGTGGAAAATTAAAGGAAAATATTTAAAAAAAGGAATGCTCAAGTAATCAAATATTAACCTGTTGAAATTTGGGTCTCCTGCCTGGCTCTTTTGAATTCTGATCCCTTCCCTTTTTTGTTTGCCGATTCCACAATGCCTGTGGAAGTATAACGTTTACATATCATTCCTGATTTTCCTTCACGATATTAAACTAATGTTGTTGAAACACTTTTCAAATCAGCTACTAGCATCAACATTCTTTAATTATTGCATGCATTTACTGTCAAGGAACCATGAGGCGTTGCAAAATGTTTAAATCAGAGTTACTTGAAGAGCCTTAAATTTTTCTGTAGGTCATACGCGAAAAGCAAATACAAACACTTTTTTTGAAAACACACATAACTCAGATGAAGCATGACAAATATTGGCTCGTAAAGTAAGAGGAAAAAGCATTAAAGGGCTTTTGGGGAAAACGGTACTACGGTAAAACCGCAATGAATTTTTAATTTACTGCATTTTATATTAAGTTGCATTCATTTACTTTTGACGCTTTTTTTTTGAAGTCTTCAAGCGTAAGATGATAAGCTATTTGGAATTGGAAGTTATGTATGTTTTATGTGTTAAGTTGTAGACAAGACATATATGAAAATTTGGCGTTTCTCTAATGTGCACAAGTTTAAAGTTTGTGCAATTTTGTAAATATTTTAAAAAAGAAGTAACAAAACTTTGCATAACTTAAATGTTACTTGCGCTGAGTTAGTTGTTTAAATTCACCTCCATAGTGATAAATTCATGCATACTTTTAAATGCCAGGTATGTAATGCAACTTAGTATATTTATTCAACATTTGAGGAAATGCTGACAGCACAGCACTATTTCCCTAACAAAAATAAACGTAGCATTTGTGTAAACTATATTTACGCAATATTTTTAAGGAGATATAAAGAGTAAATATACCTAAGCGATAAATATCATCAGTCGTTCTATTGTTAGACGATTCTAACATATCTCATATCTAACTTAATATAAAAATCGCTTTTTGGTAAATTTATGTATATAATTATATGAAGATTCTGTTTCAAGATTCTCTATTTTTAAAATATGATTTCCATTTTCACTCTGAGTTTTTTTGCACTTTTGAGCCATAGCTGTAAAAGTCGATTTTCTGCACATATAAACTAAAGATTTTGTATGTAATTGGTTTAAAATCTTTTCAAATTAAATTAAAACATTTCACAGTGCTCAAAACAGATTTAATTTGTTGCTGTAGATTTCAATATGTACTTTTGCACGTGATCACGTTGCAACGCATCAGTTGTTCTAGTAATAATACGCTTGCTTAAATTAATATAGCTAATTTTTTGTACCATGTGTTGCGAATAAAAAAATTTTTACTGTGGGTCAGATTCAATTATTTCTCACCAGACATTAGGCTGAAAGAAACCAGTCAAAATATCTAAAAGAACCATTAGACATTAAGGGATGAATGCATGAATCGAGTGCTTATTTTGTACCGATGAGTTATTACAATATTTTCAGTCAAATAAATACAGACTACGTTCTTTTGATCACACCTCAACACACAAGCCTCATTTATTTGATAATTGTTCCGGAATCGAGTTTGGTCAAATCGGCTAGTTTTTGTTGTCATGAAATCTTCTTAAAACGAACACTGAGTTCTGTTATTTTCTCAAAGGCGATGTGTTTTGCAAAATTTTAGATGCTGCAGCGATATTAACCAGGTGATTTATGACAATATTGGTCTGCCTTAGGTATTTCCACGTGTAAAATATTGAGGAAATTTCAAAACATTTGCAATCTTGAGATTGTTTATTCCTTTTGGAGCAAAAATTTCAAACGGTGAGCTAAAACTAGCTTTTTGTAAAAGTTAGGTTTTGAGGAAACTAAACAAATTTTTGGTAATAATATTCACTGAAATAATATTAGTCTCATTTTTAATTTAAGAATTTTCCACAATTCCCTTGCCCATCACATCACTTAAAAAAGGCTTCCCGATAAATACTACTATGTATGATTGTAGTAGATTGTCAACAAAAAGCGTGGTCTGTGTACAAAGTTAATTCCTCATTTGACACCTCGCACTAATAACGATTTAGTTTATCCTGTCTGTGTAAATCAGCTTGTAATACAGCCAGGGAAATGCACAAACTTAAAGTTTGTTCCTTTTCATGAAACGAGAAATGCCAATTGAGTGATCTTGAACTGAAAAATTGCTGATATTTTCCTCGAAGTGATTTGGTTTATCCAAATCCAACACTTTTGACCTCTTGGGAGAACAATAAAGGACTGTTGAAACATTTGACGTCTGTTGATCTACATTTATACCTCATGTTGCAGCAATTCATTACCACTGAAATTTGGGATTAATGGTGTACAGAAGCGCCATTGGTTTGGAAGTAGGATATGTTATTTCAGAAATGATCTGTATTTTTAAGGACACTAAGAACATACGTTGATCTCAGACCAAAGGCAATACTGACGACCACTACAGCTGGTGTTTCAAAAGTGTCGTTAATGCGCTGTATGGGTGCATCCTGATGGAGTTATTTGTAGTACTTGTAGGCGACTACCAAAACACTCAATTCAAAGTCGTGTTTGTAGGTCGCAGCCGATACTAACGATCAATGCTCACACACACACAAACCTGATTGCAATGAAAAAAAACCTGATCTGCAAAAGAATACATTTTATTTCGAGTGCATGAAAGCATGTGGCGTTTCTTGATGAGAAAATGCAGGCTGTTTGCCAACAACCTTGTTATGCTTGCTGTCGGGTCAAACGGATCATATTTAATTCAATCAATGGTTGCTAATTTAGTGGTTAGAACAACTCGGTGTTACACGGCTTCAGACAATGTTTCTAGTAGATGATCTAAACCTTTGCCATGGAATCCATCAGCTCGTTAGCTGCCATTCAGTTGACCCGCTGACTTTACCTTCAAGGTCATCGTATTTCGGATTTGTAGCAGTGGTATTGGGTGATTTCCACGAAAACTCTAAACAACAGTCACCCAATGGCCATTACACTCGCCATAAATTCATTCAGTGTTTTAATGTGTCAACAAATCATTGGCAAGTTATTGTTGTCGGTTGAAGATAACACCACTTTCGGTTTTTGGTTTAATGAGAAGAAGAAGGCAGCGCTAACTACGACGCACCTTTCATTTGAGTCAAAGCTTGGGCTTTCGGCTACTTGTTTTAGCATTCTAAGGTTTTTTTCCCTTCTGTATCTTGTCACCTATTTTTCGAGGCTACAGTGTCTCCTATTTTGTCCATATTCATGCGTGGAGCAGGGGACCAATGTAAAATCTCCTTCCCCAGTCTGGTAACCGTGCGTTGGCGAGACTGTACCTCGTGTTTCCAGAATTGACTCCGAACAACTAACTCGTATGACTATTGATACTGGTGGGACTCTCTCGTGTTGGATTAGCCCAAACAAACTAACGCGACTGTCACATTCCTGACACGTTACTCGGTTTATACTCGTAGGCTCACTCAATCTCAAAATTACAGATGAATCCCCCACTGAAACGTTGTCCCCATGGCTTCGTACTGCACTATAATTGGTCAGGTCATCGTGACCTCAACGAGTTTTCTTTATAACACATCTCCTCCCCTTCCTCCTCTCCGACTTGTAGAGCAAGGTCAAAATCGGAGATTCGACTTGAGCGCCGATATAAGTAGGTCCAGAGTACTTCCAGCAAACAGACCCACCATTCAGCACCCTCGGCGGTTAATCAGGCGACGTTTGACGAACACCTGCTCGCCATCGCTGACGACGGCAGTGAAGTTGGCTTCTATGACGTAAGGCTGCTGATTTCAATTTTTTTGGTTGTATAACGTCTTTGTGGTGGTGATTGTAGTGCAGCGTAACCACGCCTGACGACAAGACCGTGGTGGTGAAGGTGCAAAGCCAATATGCCATCGGCGAAACCAAATACACCATCGAGCTCACCTCTGAGCTGGGAATCAACCTTGGCATCTTCAGTGAGTCCTACAAGCAGACACAGACGGTAAGCGCTGAAGTGCCAGGTTAACGCGACCCTCCTTCCACAGGCAAACAACAAGTCCGTCGTGCGGAGGCTTCGAGCCCAGCGCGACCTGAAGGACCTCCGAGTGGAGACTGAGGTCTGCGCGGACGGGGTGTTGACGAAATTCGAGAGAATTTATGATCTGAGAGACGTTGAACTGTTCCTAGCCAACGGGGCTGTCCTGGTGATGCAGAGGGTCTACGCCATAACAGGCGCCCAGAGCAGGGTCACCCTGAACACCCTCGACATCGATGGAACACTGTGTTGCCTTGCTTGTGTGAGTGGCATGGAACAAATTCCTACGCCTCGTTTTGAAGTCAACATCCTCTTCTGTCTGTTTAGGAGTTCTTGGGTGGAAAGGATGCGAATTGCGACAGTACGAGCATGTCTGAGGTTGCTGTCGAACAGACACTGTGTTCACCTACTGGACACAGCATCACCACTCAAAAGTACTTTACGACTTACGGGTAAGTTATTTCCAAGCGCTGGCCCGGAGACTTGTAGAAAAGCAGATTATCCCGTGGTGTTAGTGGCAGCTTCTAACGCTTCTGTAGTGTTACCTGCTGGTTCACGTCTATTAACCCGGTCTCAGACACGCTGTTCCCCTTTTCACGGCGTGTTCGTCAGCCATGCTTGACCGTCTGCTCATTTTACCCCTGTGTATGGACCACTCTTACCCGCTTTATCCGACGTTTGTACTTTTGCTAAATCACCCGGACCGTATTAGTTAAGCATTACCTTTAATACGCGCACACGACAACGCAAATTGTTTGAGCTGTCTAGCAGACGGTTGAGCCTCAACCTTTCCGGTCTTATTGATCTGTGTCGGTACCAGGGTTGCGTGATCGGGCTAATTTCGACGCAGTGGCCTCGACGTGGTTTGAGTCAACATGCCTGGACCCTCAACAATCCAGTATCAGCTGCCTCTAAGGTTGCTTATGTAGGGTGGTGTTTTGGTAGATTGCAAGCAGAATAAGACCATAAACCACGTTCCATAAAGGAAGCCGAGGGTGTTTTTAGATTGAGGGTTGGACAAGAGCGTTGATTTTCAACAAATTCGCAGAATTTGAGCGCGACAATTGAAGGGAAGCACCAGCAATCAGCCATCAACTAAGGCATTTTACCTGCTTCCTTTCAGGCAGTTGGTGTCCGTAGTGCAGATCGGTTCGCCGGTGGTGTTCAAGCTGGCCCAACCCCCACTCCCCATTATCAAAGGTAAGCAAGACTAAGATTACTGAACGCGCCTCAACAGATCAGTATTTGCCCATTCCACACGTCGGAGAAGACGACTTCTTCTGGCGGGACAATATGTATATGCTTTCGAAATTCTACCAACGGAAGGTAAGAGTAGATGTTGCCTATTTTTCGATGCTGTTGCCCTCTCCTCCTTGCTCATCGCAGAACAACATAGAAACTGATGCACATACGAGTCACTTGTGGACCACAACAGGCGTTGACGGAGAAAATTCCATGTTTTCAACGACAGCTAGGTCACAATGAGCTCTCGTTTTCCCCAAATATCCGCTGCTAACATTGGTGGCATTCAGCATGCTGCTACCGTTGGTCTAGACATCCTCGAATGTGTAGATATTGGGAGCATGGTGTCCTAAAATCAAATTGAACACTTCCAAAACTGAAAATTCATTGTCAATGCTCCTGATCATTTCCGAGAGACGGAACAGCAGCCCAGGGAATTCACCACACACGCCAATCGTTGGCATGGGTAGTAGAAATGACTGCTCTAATCCCTCCTATGAAACCACGTTGTCTATCATAGGCCACTCCTTTTTTTCAAAACGCTTTTTCCGCACAATACAATCAATAGGAGAGGATAATATCGATTTCTGAGGGAACATCACGACTTGAATTGCATTAAAGTAAATCGATTGAATCGTGTTCGTTCACCCCTGTTAATTGCGTTACAATTAGGAGAGTTCAGTTGTGAGTACATAACATAAGCTACTTCTTTTAAACAAGATCAAAAACCAGAACCCCACCACAAGCGGGTCTTCTAAAAACTTATACCACTGACTTCCAGATCATACTGCACGCTCGATTTTGATTGGTCCAACGAAAATGCGTGTTCGCTTGCCGCTCGAATTAGCCTCGAACAAAACCACAGCCCTTTTAACAACTGGCTAATCACTGAGACTCGCCGCTGTTTTTTTTTCTTGCAGGAAGAACTGATTAGCCAGTATCATCTGTACCTCTACGACCACCCCGAATTCACAGACCTGCTGAAGGACTTCCTGCAGGCACTTCTGATGGAGAAGCCCGAGGACACGTACAACTTCGCCGCCGACTACTTTACCAGCTTCTCAAAGCGAAGAGAGGAGACCACGTGCCTCAAGCAGGCCTGAAGCGCTTTGCTGTGCTAGCACCAACCAATAATCCTCGTTTGCCGGAAGCTGTGACCTTCACCAGCGAACAATACGCGGCGGGAATTGATATATATGTGTAGTAAACAAAATACGCAGTGGCATGATATACCAAAACGGGGGTGGGGTGGGGTGGGGTTTGTGGGATAAGGCGGGGACTCTCAGTTGTGCAGGATGGACTTAGGCACTACGAAGAGGGTCCGAGCACTGTCCGCGAGGCCGACGATGAAGTGGCGTCGGGAGTCGCTGCCTGACAGTCCCACTGGACCCAGACCCTTCTCCCACCGTCGACGTCGATGGGGAACCGCACCAGCGGTGGTGGAGGCTGCTGGGGGCAGGAGGTGCAGTGAGCGCTCGTACTTGGCCGTCCGCGGGTTCACCAGACGCAAGTAGCCCTGCGTTGGTAAAAACAAAACAAATCGATCAACTTGGTGTTGCTTTGGATTAGGACATGACGTATCTTAGACACGAGCTTACTTGGTCACCGAAAACCACACGATCATTCACATCGATGATTGGCGCTGGAAGTGCAAATTCCGGCGTGTTCTGAAGGAGATTGACATTATAATTAGAGTGATAATCAGATTTTGCCAAACCTGGTCGTGTTTGGGTGTCTTTCCTGTTGTAATAAACAACCCGATGCATAAATTATAACGCCAATTCGGCGGCGACAGCTCATTTCACAGTGCACACACAACTAGGAGTTGATAAACACTGAGAATACCGGCGTAGGCTCATGTTATTTTGAAACTTGTGGATTGAACTGGTTTCAAACCACGCGACTCGGGAAGATATACTTGGTTTTGCGGAAGTAATCTCCTTTTTTTTTTACAAAAAAAGTGCACTTCGCGCCGTCTGCACGACCTTGAAATCACGAGATTTCAAGGTCATGTGGTAGAAAGTGGGACCACCACCACCATTTTTAAATTACTGCATGGTGCTGCGCTTCACAGCCCAGTGTCAAAAAAAGTAGAGACGATGCACATTATAAGCGATTGGAGAATTGCCGTCACGTACAGCGGGGAATCGGCGAATCAGAAGGCACGTGCTTCCACGGATGGTCCAGAGGGCGACATCTCCACCGGAGCAGTAGGTCACCAGCCGAAACACCGTGGATGGGGCAGAGAGCTTGAAGAGCCTGACCCAGGTGGGTCCGGCCCTCCTGCTGGAAGCAGGAGGTCCCCAGCCGCCGCCGCCAGTCACACACAATTCCACCGCTTCAACACGAAGGTTCTGGTGACGCTGTTGGTCCACAGTCTGGAAGATCGGACCCACCCTCAGCATCCGCACTTGACCTGACTCCTGACTGACAACAATTGTGGACTGGAACGGAAGAAATCAAACAGTGGCTACTTGAGGACCTACAAACAAATTCCGCAGTGTGCCATCACATCAACAGAAATTTCACAATTTTTTACTGGCACAATAAAAAGTAGGGTCTCTCCCTCTTCAACAGAGTGGTTTCACGAATGCCAGCGTGGTTGGGGATGAACACCTACCTGGAAGAAGTCGACACAGAGAACCGGGCTGGCGTTCCAGACGAAGCGCTGAAACTGTAGATGGCGGGTTTGAACGAGTGCCAAGGAGCCGTCCTCGGCGCCACTAATCACCGCGAGGTCCTCGTTGGTGGGTTGCCGCAGGAACGGTTTCAAGGAGGCGAGAGGTGGGAAACGCTGGAGGCTGGGGTGGGAGCGACGCGACACCAGACAGCTGACGCCATGGCCCGCGGGGTGCGCTGCCCACACCCCACGGATGCACCAATCGCGCTGCGGCTGACCGCTGGCCCCGCACGAGGGGTCCCACGTTGCGTAGCCCACGTAGCCACCGTTTGTGCCGAAAAAGAACACGTGCCTAGAAAGGACAGGCATCGCAAACTTTAAGAAGGCAAACCAAACTAATCGACCCACTATTTACGGTTTCGCGTTGGGTTGTAGTTGCATACACTGACACACCGTACCAACAGACTTAGGCTTTCGCAAAGACGGCTGTGTTGACCGCATCGAGCGATTGTTCAATCAATGCTGTACGTAATTAGCTGCCACAGTTGACAACGAAGATGATCTGACGAATTTTCACGAGTTAAAAGCGCTTTCACAAAAGCCGGTGTTTCCTAAAGGCAGTCATGCAACCAAACAATTGACCTCTGACACACGCCACCACATCCATCAACAAATTACAGACGCGTTGAAATTAGGCAAACAGCTGCCATCTCCTCCGGAAGGTGTGACCTTGCGCGCTTACGAAGGGAACGCCAACCAACGTGTTCTTTTGTTTTAATCAGATGCACACACACACACACACTTGACCTTTTGAGACAGTTACTTTGAGGGGTGAATGTTCAATTGAAAATGGTTTACAAGGCAAACGCTTGCTAGTGATAAGTAGAACACTAATCGAATTGGAATTTGGCGAGTTTAAGGTGTTCACGTGCGCCGTGTTTCTGAAAATGTGTTAGCATGAAAAACAGACGTGTTGGTGTGTGTGCGTTACCTCAAATTGCACCTTTGTCGTATTCTCTTCACTTTTTGCATACAAAAAAGCATTTTCCTCCACGAATCTACTAGCATGAGGGATTTCAAGACGTTTACACACGCGTTTACACACGCTTACCAGCAATTACAAGGGCGAAATGACCTTCCACCAGAGATTAGTAATTCAAGTGGGCATTTGCCATGCTACGATAGAGGGCCCTTTGCGAATTGAGAACGCGCCATGGCTGCAATGAATACGTTGGTAAAAACAACTACGAACTTTATTTTATACATGGTGTTAAACTCGACGGCGATTTCGAAGCGTAGTACAACAGACCCGCACGAATTCCGGCCCTCTCAGAGTGTCCACGTGTCCGCTTTAACTGCGAGGCATACGATGCACGCAACACACACGCACACACACGGGCTTCAGGGCGTTTAGAGCAAAACACCACAACCGGAAACTCATAAAAAGCCACTCGCAGCACTGCAAACTTCAAAGCGCCAAACAGGACGGGCATAAATTAGGCGTCATGAAGTGCGAGCATCTGCAAACACGACGTGGAGGTAAAAAAACAACAAAGGCGAGGACACCACTAGCTCATGGCGGTCATTGAAGCGAGAGACGCGCGCAGCGCCGCGGCTCAAGCACCTCCACTGGCGACAACAACGCAAGCACTGAGGGCAAATTTAAACAAAATTACGCGTTTTCTGATGACACCTCGATGACGGTTATGCCACCGACTCGCCTGACCCCGCCTGAGGCACCAACAAACACGCCGTCCTCGTCGTAGAAGCGGTCGGAGGCTTGGGCATCCAGGACTTGGCGCAGACAGTAGTTGTCGAGGTCCCAAATCTACCAAAATGAACAAGCGAAATCAGACAAGACATCATTCACTAACCTGAATGGGAAATGGCCAGGTTTACAAGTGGCAGTGTTGGTGGTGGTGGTGGTGGTGATATTCTTTGCATCAGTTAACTGGTGGACGACATACTTTGTACAGATTTCCTCTTTGAACTTATAATTATGCATTTAAAATGGAAATATCTTCGTGGTCTTTTGTGGTCTTGAAAGGATCAGGTGCAAGGCTCCAGAACACCGAACGGT